TGTACCTGCAGCCGTACACCTGGAGGAAAAAACAAGTCCTTTCTTAACTTAGTTAATTAGAAAAGAACTTGACAATATAAGAACGAACCTTAAAAACAAAGATTTATTTAATGTCAAGTTAGAAAGGGATAACGTAATAATAAGCATTACTGTAGGCTTAATTATTTAGAGGTAAGGTAGAAGAGAACTACAGCTTCAATTGGCTCTTATACCATACCTTTTCAGGGTATTCTAGTTACAGTCTGAAGCTTGTAAAACTGTGAAGAAGTAATTTTCGACCCCATAAATAATATTTATTCTTGATCATCATCCGCGGCTGAATCGATCTAACTATTTCCGGATGAAAAAAATATTAAGAACATTTTTTCGATTTTTGCAAAAAATGATAAGGGGTTACATCATTAAAATTGTCAAAAATCGACAAAAATTTTAATGTTTACAAATTTTAAATTTAGTATACAGATTTATAAAACTAATAAAAACTAGCATAGGAACGGTTTCTGAATTGAAATAAATGAATTTTTACCAAAGCTATAGCATTTTAAAAATTCAATTTTCCTAAAAAAGTGATCATTATAATATTATGTTATATTGATTTAGCAAATGTTAGCCTGAAATAATTCCAAACTTAAAGGACATACCAAGTTTGGCTTACCCAAAAAATAACTTATTTTCTTTCTTAATTTATCATGAGATGAAGTCACTATAATGCCGGAATATTTTAAATTTAAATTAAAACTAAACATAATTTTCCTGAGTGCACATCCACAAGTTGGTCAAGCAAGCGTTACTCCGCTTCCAGCACTCTTCCGATGGCGTGGAGGACACACTGGACAGCGGCATCTCCTATTTTAGGTCTAACTTGTTAACTCGTCGCAGAGAGACAACCGGCTTCGCTTACCCCGGTAATTCAAGTTAGCTACAAAAATAGAACCTTAATTTATTGTTACCACCATTACTGGCCGGTGTCCGAGGATCGCTCTATAGTTGGCAGCAGTAGGTTGTCCATACATGGTCATATCATTTTCATTTTTCATTTTTCACGGTGGCGTCGCATCTGCGCACACGCCCCGCCGTTTTCTTCCGCCTCCTCGTTGCGAATTAAACGCTGGTCAAGCGAAAGTGAAACCTCTGCGACGTTGTCTATGATGATGATGATGATGGAGTGCAGCATTCTTTTGAGTACAGTAATCAAAGGAACACTTACCTTGGTACAGTGAGCTAAAAAAATGTTAATAAAACTAATCGATTATAAATTTATTGCACTTTTGATAATGGATATTAAATCATCAGAGTTTGTTTGTTTTAATTTTTTATACGAAACTTAAATTATATACTATTTTATATTGATGCGACGAGCTCAAGTTTTATGACGAACTTAGCTGGAATAAACTTATTTATTACTTAACTTAAAAGGCTAATAATATATTCAGGGGAAATCCGTTTTTATGACTACCTATTCGTTATTTTCAACTAAAGTATTAGGTAGTCGTTATTTATGTTTTGTGTTCGTGAATAGCTCGTAAAATTTGTGCAAATGAAAACAAATATTTTAAAGCGCAATAAACTAGCTTCAATGGAAATACATAAACTATATTATGATTGAAAGTGTTTAGCAGGGATCATTGACCTTTGAATACTTAAGAATTAATACATTTTCATATTTTCATAGACATTTATATTTACAATTTGTCAATCACTTTTTCACTCATCAAAAACCGAAATTCTAGAATAATGCAAATTGGCTATATATCAAATTTGATAGAAATCGGTTGAAAACTGGAAAAGTTTAGTTTTTTTCTTAAAATTTTCCGATTGTTCCTATGGCAGCTATATATATGTATATATATAGTTCACCGATTCGCCATGCTTCAACTTATACAATAGAAAAATGTTATAGAGGAATAACTCCATAGTTTCATTTAAAGAATAGTGATTTGTTCCAAAACAAATTTCAAACATCTGGTCATATGATTCCCAACTGGTTCTAACATCCCCGGGACGAAGTGCCTTCTGTCGGCCAATTCTCAGAAATGTGTTCTGTTACAAAAGTTGCAAGTCATTGTTTATTAGTGTTCAAAGTTAGTAACTGATCATACATACTTACTGGTCATAGATAATTACTGATCATAGTTACTTATTGTTCATAGATACTTAGTGTTCAGAATTACTTACTGGTCATAGATACTTAACGTTTATAGTTATCATATCACCATATCATATGATTCCCAACTGGTTCAAACATCCCCGGAACGAAGTGCCTTCTGCCGGCCATGTCTCGGAGATGTGTTGTGTTACAAAAGTTGCAAGTCATTGTTTATTAGTGTTCAAAGTTAATAACTGATCATACATACTAACTGGTCATAGATAATTACTGATCATAGTTACTTATTGTTCATAGATACTTAGTGTTCAGAGTTACTTACTGATCATAGTTACTTACTAGTCATAGATTCTTCCTGATTATAGTTACTTACTTGTTTTAGATACTTACTGTTCAGAGTTAATTACTGGTCATGGATACTTAGTGTTCAGAGTTACTTACTGGTCATAGATACTTAACGTTCATAGTTATCATATCATCATATCATATGATTCCCAACTGGTTCAAACATCCCCGGAACGAAGTGCCTTCTGTCGGCCAAGTCTCAGAAATGTGTTGTGTTACAAAAGTTGCAAGTCATTGTTTATTAGTGTTCGAAGTTAGTAACTGATCATACATACTTAGTGGTCATAGATAATTACTGATCATAGTTATTATTGTTCATAGATACTTATTGTTCATAGATACTTACTGTTCAGAGTTAATTACTGGTCATAGATACTTAGTGTTCAGAGTTACTTACTGGTCATAGATACTTAACGTTCATAGTTATCATATCATCATATCATATGATTCCCAACTGGTTCAAACATCCCCGGAGCGAAGTGCCTTCTGCCGGCCAAGTCTCAGAAATGTGTTGTGTTACAAAAGTTGCAAGTCATTGTTTATTAGTGTTCAAAGTTAGTAACTGATCATACATACTTAGTGGTCATAGATAATTACTGATCATAGTTACTTATTGTTCATAGATACTTAGTGCTCAGAGTTACTTACTGGTCATAGATACTTACTGATTATAGTTACTTACTTATTTTAGATACTTAGTGTTCAGAGTTAATTACTGGTCATAGATACTTAACGCTCATAGTTATCATATCATCATATCATATGATTCCCAACTGGTTCAAACATGCCCGGAACGAAGTGCCTTCTGCCGGCCATGTCTCAGAAATGTGTTGTGTTACAAAAGTTGCAAGTCATTGTTTATTAGTGTTCAAAGTTAGTAACTGATCATACATACTTACTGGTCATAGATACTTACTTATCATATTTATTTACTGGTCATATATACTTACTGCTCAGAGTTACTTACTGTTTAAAGTTAATTACTGGTCATAGATACTTAGTGTTCAGAGTTACTTACTGGTCACAGATACTTAATGTTCATCATATCATCATATCGTATGATTCCCAACTAGTTCTAACATCCCCGGAACGAAGTACCCTCTGCCAGCCATATCTCAGAAATGTGTTGTTACAAAAGTTGCAAGTCATTGTTTATTAGTGTTCAAAGTTAGTAACTGATCTTACATACTTAGTGGTCATAGATAATTACTGATCATAGTTACTTATTGTTCATAGATACTTAGTGTTCAGAGTTACGTACTGATCATAGTTACTTACTGGTCATAGATACTTAATGTTCATTGATCCTTACTGATTATAGTTACTTACTGGTCATAGATAGCCGGCATAGTATATACTATACATTTATATAGTAAATTATTTTTATGATTTTTTTATTAATTTAAATTTCCCGAAAACAGAGTCACCACTGTATTCCAACTCATATTAATGGCTTTCGCAAAGCAATTGGAGTGTAATTATACCCATTTCTTCTTTTTTTCCCTGTGATCCCAGTAAATTATAAACCAGACATAGTGCCACGCCTAGCCTCGCCGTCAATAAAGCCCGCCCATTCAGACACCATCATCACCACCATTTGGGGACATTGTGCCAAGTGCTTAGTTCCGAAACGAAATTTCGTGATAAATACATTCACAAACAGAATTAATTGATGTAGCCACAAAATAAAAAAACCCTAAAATCGAAATGAACAAACAAACGAACTGTCATCGCAATTTAAGCTGAAATATATATAAAACTGTTGCAAAAATAATAATAATAATAATAACAACAATAAAAATTGACTGGCACATGTTAATGAAGGTAAGCATTCACCCAAATGAACCTGATGAGGTTTATTAGGCCTCGACAAATGGCTGAAATGGCCAGAAACGTGTTTCCATAAAAAATCACCGACAATATGGCTGTCACGTGAGACCCAAAAGACCGATCCGAACCCCGATCCGCGATGAGTCAGTCTGATGAGGCCCCCGAGCGATGTGAGTGAGGTGAGTGTATTCACGGTACTCATTAATAATCCGCAAACATATTCGCGCTGTCAGTTAACCGAGAGGATGGAGGAGGAGGAGCAGCAGGAGGAGGCGTTTACCCTTGACCATATTTTGACAGGCAGCATAACCACATGGTCAGCTCTGGCAAACGGCGATACAAGATCCACGCTCCGAGGACCGTTAGGAACCAATAATCCAAGACAATCGATCTACTCCCAGCTACCTGGGTAATAACTCACCACATTTTTCTTGGCATGTGCTGATTGACGGACAGATGTTTCCAGGTGAGGCCAGGCAGGGGTAAACCTATGGATGGATGAGCTCTACCTGGTTCTGGCCGGGTTCAGATTGCGCCAGATTCCGCCGGCTTGTTTACGAACATCGCACACAAAGCGTGCGGGTAAAACATGGAAGCAATGCCTCGTGGAAACATGAAGCCCTTCAAAATATGACATTTGGGAAAAAAATAACATTGAATTGGTAATAGTAATTGGCTAAAAGTAGCCTTAGGAGCATGTTTATTTATGAAAAAGTCTGGAATTTAGTATATTTATAGCTTCATCAGGGGTTTAGGGATGCTCGATTTCATTCTTGATGTTTTCTTTGAAGTCCAACCCTTAGTATTTGGCATCCATTAGCAAGCCTTACATTTTCCGTTTTTATTTCACACAAAACTAACCAAAACGGTAAGGCAGTTAACTAAATTACAGCAAAATGCCGTATCTCTATGGCATAGCGGACACCAAGTTCCTGGTCAAGAAGGTCAAGAAAAAGGCAATGAAGTCCGATCGCACGGTTATGCCGCCCTTTAAGTTCCGACGCAATGATTACCTTCAGGCATGTCCCAAATACAATAAGGACGATGTGCCTATCCAGTTTAGAGCTGCGCCTGCTACGCTTGTGGAACTGTGCGTCAATGTGGTGGACAAGCTGCCATTGCCACCGATCTACGAATGGGATGACATGGACATAAGGCGCTGGATCCATGGCTACGGTTATCCTCAGTACATGGTGAGAAATTATATAATATTTAAAAATATATTACCTGTAATATTTAACTTTCATTATACTTGACAGAACACCTTTCGTGTCAACATGATCACGGGCCGGAAGCTGCTCCTGCTGGATGCCGCCGCCCTGAGTGCCATGAACATCAAGGATTTCGATCACATCCGTCACATAGCCTATGGCATCCGGATGCTGTTCCACTTTGAGCTGACCAAGTTCTCGTCCAGCATCTCGCTGCCAGATGAGAATCCCAACGAGCTGTACCTACTGTTCCACACCCAGACTGGCGTTAACTATGACGAAGTGCGTCGTAGTGATCTGTACCGCAGGATGCAGTTGATCCGTGAGCGATCTCGCAATCTGGATCACTGGGATCTGCTGTACCTGTGGCTGCGACGTGAGCGGGAGCACAAATACCACGAGATCATCGGTATGGCGCGGCGCAGCAATATGTTCAAGTGCAAGGAAGCTGTGGTGGAACACCATCTTCCGGAGTCCTTGGAGCCGGAGGATCTCATGTGCCAGACATGCGTACCGCCGTGCGATTGCGACTGGACGGAGCGGGATCTGCGGCTGCCATGGCGCTTTAGCTGCCTCGCCCCGGTGCTGGCCACGACCATGAGCAAGTGGAAGGCCCATCAGACGCAGTGCACCAGCTGCATACCGCCCTGCGAATGCAACTGGCCGCCGCGGTACTATCTCACCGGGACGGTCATCGTCTGTCTGCAGCACAAGTTCCCGGAGAAGTTCTGTCCCATTTTCGACGAGCGTTACAAGGCCTCGGCGCGGCCCAGTCTTGTGGAGCGTTGGACGCGGTTCTCCATCTGATCCAGTCTGGTGTCTTATCTATTATTATCTTTTATGGAGTTGTAATTATAATTGACTTCCCTGGGGTTTTCTTTTGATCCCAAAATATATTAATTAGTAATATATATTCAATTTACCTAATTAATTGCTTAAAACAAGAAAAGAAACTAACTTCGGGAAGCCGAAGCCTATATACCAATGCAGTATGCAATTATATTATAACTAAGTTAAGCAGTATGAGCTTATTTGAAACAATATTTACATTTTTACTATGATCATTTTTTTTGACAAATCAAAGTTTAAAAAATCAATACCTCAGCTAAAAATCCATTTATTGAATTCGGAATCCTTTCCTATGTTAGTTTTTATAAATGTTTTAAATCTGCATATAAAGACAATTTAAAATACGTTCGATTTTTGAAAATTTTAAAGATGTAACCTATTATATTTTTTTTGAAAAAATTAAGAAAATTTTATTTTAACCGGACATGGCTAAATCGACTCAGCTGTTGATGCTGATCAAGAATATATATGATTCACTGCCTAGCAAGCTTTGGACTGATATTTTAATACCCTGCAAGGGTAAAAAACAAAAAAAGTATTTATTTGTTTATGCATAATTACAATAAACAAATGTGTTAGTTGAACAAAGAGCTGTAAAAACAAAAGCGAAAATTCACAAAATTCCACAAAACTGAAGCGTAGTGAATACTATATGTATATATTTTTCTTATTTTCCTGGCTTAGCCAGCCGTTTTGCAATCCGTCTGACTGATAAGCTTTGGGTGATTTTCACACATTTTTACACATTTCTCCACTAATCGATATTGGCCGCTGGAGGGTTAACGTTAACTATCCGCGGCGATTTGCACCGATCACATAATGGATAATGGCAGCTGCGAGCTGTAATCGAACTGACAGCGCTGGGAAAGTAAGGAGCGGAGCAGGAGAAAGAGAAAGAGCAGGAGAAAGAGCAGGAGCAGGAGGAGAAAGAGAGCAGAGCGGAGAGAGGAGAAAGATGGCAAGAGGAGAGAAGAATTAAGGTACAGCATAAAAATAAAATAAACGGCGCAAGAATTTGAATTTTGCATCCCACGAACAACAAGCCAAAGGCGACGTCGACCGACGAACGTCAGCCGAGGCAGCGACCGAGGCAGAGACAGCGGCAGAGACAGAGACAGACCCAAAGCCCCAAAGCAGCAAGCGAAGCAACAACACTCCACAGCAACATGAGCGGCGGGCAGCGCTGTCGGCGTCAGCCCGAGGAAAGACAGAAAAAGGCGCCGTCGAGCAGGCCGCATTTTCAGTTCAGTTCCAACGCTTCGAGTGAGCAGTTTCGAGTTCGAACCCAACTTTGAATATCGTTCGACTCAGTTCTAGAATCGCCTGCGCTTGCGCCAACAGAAGTCACCACCTCCCGAGTTCTGTTTCAAAAATAATCAACAGCTGTCCGTTTAATACTCTAAAAATAATAAAAATTAAGTAAAAAACTGCCTGTTGTCCGGGAGTGCTGCGATCTTGCTACTTAATCTGTTCAGAAACTACAAAAATAAGAAAAAATCATCCGCTGAAAACTGTTTTTCGAACGCACGTGCGGTTTCTTGCGGCTTCCGTTCGTTGTTCGCTGTTGTTTTTATATGCAAATCGGCGTTAAAACAAATTATACAGATACAGATATAGATTTGTTATCCGTTTCTGTGCTTAACAAATTATATAATTTGCCATAAAAGCAACTAACGTCGTTAGTTAGTTGTTGCTGCGGTTAACGTCGAGTGCAGAAAGAGGTGGGTGTCGTTGCACACTTAATGCAAATATTATTATCAACAAACTGTGTCGAGTGTGTTGCATTTATACTTATTTATTGCCAAGTGGCGATTAATTGGGCTTCAAAACTAGATTGTTCTGGTTTTCTGATGGGGTTTTTAAAGGGCTTAGGGAGTAGTGAGAGTTTTAAAGTAAATTAAAGGCTGTTGAGAATGCGTGATTTTTAATTTTTAATTAGAAAATATTTATAAAAAACGAGATATTGAAATACAATTTTTGAAAATTATAAAAAATGTCAATGTTAATGTATTGCTCTATCAGTTTTTAGGTTTCTAAAGTGGCTTAGAATTAGTATTTGATTGAAATAAAGTGATGGTGTTTGAGTTTTATTTATTAATAATATATTTAAAGTAGTTAGTGCTTCAAAAAACTCGACATTATCTTTGAAATCATCATTTAATATTTATAGTTTTCAGTCAATGCTTGAAAATAAGTAATACATTAATTTAAAGTGCCTCTAGTATCTTATGATACTATAAATATATTAAAATATTATTTTCAAAGTTCAAAATTTGTTTAACAAAGTGTAATTTTAAGAAAACTGATTTCCCAGTTAATTTAGATAAGAATTTGAGAAATTTATTGTGTTTTTGGTATCAATCCATTTAAAAAAATAATACATTATATAGAAATATAAATAGTTTTTCAAGCCTCTCTCTAATAAAATATGAAAATATTAGCTCATAATTATCGTGAATCAAAGATTAACGCAACAATTGCGATAAAAACAAAAAAAAAAACCTTAAAGTTTAATAAACAGTGAAACTGATACATCATCAACCACATTGTGGGTTCTCTGTAAACAAACAAAAGAAAACACATATTAAGCAATTATTTGTTGTTCCGATAAAATGTATACAATGTTGTATTGGCTTTTCGGTGACTAATAATATCTGTTATAGCCATATAACAGCTTTTTTATGCGAGATGCTGCTGACCTCCCTCCCCGCGAGAAAACTCAGCCCAGGCAAAATTTTATACGGGTTTATTTTGTATATAGAAAAGTCGGAAGACGATGACGTGCGTATATAGAAGTCGTATATAGTCAATGCCCACACAACAGATGCCGCTTTTCATTGGGTTAATAACATGCCCAATATTGTCCCAGGCAAGGACAATAATAATAATTTGGTGTGTCCTTGCCTACATATGGGTGTCGCGTCCCTTCTGCACATGCGGGTCTAGTGTGTGTTTTATTTTTATTATGTTATTTTTTTTTGTTGCCTAGACGCCAGCAAATATTTGCGCCACAAATTGGCTAAAACAACTTGGCTTGTACAAACCGAAACTTAGTTGATTGGTCCTGAAGTCCTCGAGTTGCTAGGCGCTGCTGACTTCAGCCCCAAGTTCGTACGACACGTGTGTGTGTCTGACAATAATTAGCATGCAAGCAAATCGCATAATGCTGACGAATTTTCCTCCCCGGGAAATTTATAGCGGCGCCAGCAGATATGAACAGGAAAAGATAGTGGCCACGGGCAAGAGAAAATTATCAGGGGATTTTGTTGTAGAAAAAATATCAAGAGAATAAAGTTTTTTATGGGAAAGATACTTGCTTTAATATTAAGAAAAATATTTAAACATACAGTAACTTAAAGCAAGAAATAAAACTAACTTTGGGAGGTCGAAGTTTATTATAGGATCCTATCGAAAATCTGCTTAAAATATAATACCCTACAAGGGTATAAAAATATAAAAAGACAATGTTTTGTTTGGGGTTTTTCTTTGAATTAAATACTTATTTTAGATTAAATTATTCCCTGAAGTTCTTGCTCATTAATTTCTTTTGCAAGTCCAAATTAAAAGCTTATAGAAATTTACTCTGAATCATAAAAATTAAGACTCTGTCAAAATGATAGCTCTATCTATATCTTTAGGGGAGTTTTATTTTTCTTACCAATTTGTCTAGAAAAAAGCCAAGTTAACAGAACTCTTACCAACTATCCGTGTGTGTTCCCCACTCTCGTGTCTCAATTATATTTAGCATTTTCTCTGATTCCTCGGGGCGGCATATATATTTGAAGACGCAGACGGGAACGATAAGGGGGCCCATGCCGGCGATAAGAGCTGCAGGAGAGGGAGAGAGGATCACGGTCAGGGAGAGGGGAAATCCGGTATAGTTATGAATGAGCTAAGTAGTCTCGGGCTGTGATATAATTGCCTTGAGTCATGGGACAGACACGCCGCCCGTCGGACCTCCTTATTGGTGGGCACGTTCAGGTACGAACACGAGACACCAACGGCGATAAGATTAGATATGAAAATCGTTTAGGTTACTCGGGAAAAAGTTTCATTAACTTTTTGAGACTATTTATATATCGTTCGATATCTTTTTTTTTCTCTCCTGATTATTATCTTATTTCGTTTTCAATTTTAAAGACAATTTGCTGATATATTTCTGGTATATTTCCATTTGCAGAGGCGGCAGTCATGTCCAACACGGAGAAAGGAGGACTGCACAGAGTGCGAAGTAAGTAGATAAATGTGTTAATGATATCACCTGTGAAAATTCCCAAAACGACAGTACACACTGGTGAACTTTTGTGGAGGAGAATAATGAGGGAAAATTGTGAAATTAATGTCTGCATAGAGTATTTCACTCGGGAACAAAGCGAACTTTCCAGAATTTATTTTTTGCAATATTTAATTGATAAAGCTTTGGTAATTTTATTAGCTATAATTTAAAAGTGCTTCTGGGAACCCTTATCTTTACTTGACTTATATATTTTTAATACAAAACTAATTTAATTCTTTTAAGGAAATGTTTTTTAAAGATGTAGATGTCTTTTAAATTAACTAAACAAATTTATTTGCCTTGCAAGCTGCAACAATACTTTTCAAAGATGTTGGAGCCTTTTCGAAGTACAAAGATGCTTAAAATATTTCCCTAAACTTAACAATATTTTTAAAAAAATAAAAATATCCTAAATTTTGTCTAGTTTTATATATATTTTCCAACCTGCTGTCGTGTCAGCAGAAAATGCCAGAACAAACTGTCTGTAAACCGCACTGAAGCCGCAGCCGAGCCCCTTTTTTTTGTTGTTGTTTCTAGACGCGCATCGATAACAGGGCCCAGAAACCGCACATGACGGCATTAAAAAATATATATAGGGGCTAAAAAAAATACAAAAATGGGGCGCGCCATGGTCATCAGTTGGCCAATTGAATGGAGATTCGGTTAACATAAACAAATTGAGCAGAAGGAACTCCTCCTTCACGGCTTGATGATTATTTGATTGGTGTCAACGAGACAAGTTGAATTGAGGTTACAAATCAATTGGGCGATGAATGTGAAGGAGGCTGCCTAGTTTTTGATTGATAAATTCAATGCTGATTGATGTTTGTATTGTTTTTCCTCTAGTCCTTTTTGTGGAGAAGATACGAAGAGGGGGAAGATTTCTATTGCGGGTAAATGTTTTTTGGTGTTGAAGTAATGTATTTATTCCTTAAATACTATATTTTATAAGATAACAAATAATTCTTATAGAAATAACAGAGATTTATACATTGATTTACACATTTTATTAGAAACTATAAGGTTTCAAGGAGGTATTCCTTCATTCATTTTGCTCTTAACTTTTTTAAAGGATGCTACATTTTGTAGCATACTTTTCCGGGCCGTTAAAGAGGATTTCAAAACTCAAATGGGTTCTGTAACATTCTTGCTAAAATAAATCCTTATAAAGTAGTATAACTCATAAATAAATAAATCACAAGCTCTGTGATTAAATAAATTCATATATCAATATAAATAACCTACCTTTATCGGTGCTATTGTTGGAGGTGTGATATATGCGTAGAGCCCTTTCTGTGTCAATCTAAAAATAGTCAGAAATGAAATCATTACGCCCACCGTCCGTCACCTTGTCACACTTTTGGTTGGAAGGGACTCCAGCACCGATCGTTGACATCGTATGTATATAAGTATATATCCCATCCTGAGCGTGACACTCCTCCAATGTCCGAAGCGGTGACATCGATATGGACTATCACCCACGCCCACGCCTTGGTGACTCTCGAGTTGTTCGATGCGCAGTTGGTCGACCTCATGACGCCATTGTTATGACATTTCCCGAGGAGCAACTCACTCGCATAAACTATGCAAACAAATTAGCGCAGTCACGCTAACTAAACACGCTGAAAATACTGTCAATGAAATCGTCGTCGTTATTCCGCATGGAAAGTTTAGTTCATGGACTTAATTCTTCTGAGTTATACTAACAGTACGTTTCGCAATTAAATTTCGATTCGATTCGATTCGATTGTTGTTGTGGCGAAATTTTTAATAGCCCATCAGCATAGTCATCGGACTGTTTAAGTTTTTAATTCGTACTTTCGTACTCATGAGCCATTTAGCACTTTAGAGTCAGACAATCCAGCCAGACAGGTCTTGGGGATTCAAGTGGGGGGCAGTGGGAGCTCCGATCCCATGCCCGAGTGCACATTCCGTCGGTCCCGTGAGCAAACATTGTATTGAATTGTAGATAAGCCCAAAAGCTCTAATCAAAACTCGAAGCGAGCAATTAGCAGGTAAAAAATAGTCATTGGGAGGCGGCGCAGGCAGGTGAGAAATGCGTTTCACGAACTTTAAGCACTTCCATGAAAAAGGAATAAGCACAGGTTCCTTAAACATTAAATTTTCTTTTAAATTTTACTACAAAAAAAGTGTATAATTATTTGTAGAGATTTTTCCTGATTTGAATTTATATATAATCCACATTTTTTATACAGCAACATTTTCTAGCCTTTAAGTTAAGAGTTACCTTGGAATAAATGGATAGAAAAAGCAAAGGCAATATATTATACAATAACCTTAAATATAAAATTTAATATAATAAAATAAATAATTCAAAAAGCAATACATTTTAGGAAAACTGTATATGAGAAATCTTTTTAAAACTTTAAAACTCCCCTTTTATAACTAACTATTTTGAATCAGTCTATACGCCTAAATTACAGGGTAGTTCAACAGTTTGTTTACAGAAAAGCTATCGCTAATTAAAGTGATTTTCCCTCTATAAACTTAAGCATTTAATTATCATTTAAAATTAAAATTAACAAAAAACTTGAAAGCAATTCGTTTAGAGTATTGTCATTCATTACAAACTCGTGTAATTCGCACCCACGCCCCCAACCTTGTCCTGAACTGAACTGTAGATATAGCAATTATATATATGGCAAGGTGTGATTCATGATCGATTTTTATGGCTTTTTTACAATTATTATTATTGATTGGCATTGCAGTTTGTTTAGTTCGATGAAGGCGTTTAAGTGATTTAGAGGATACGATAAAAAGAGGGAAATAACAAATGAAGGATTTATTTAGTGTTTTTGAAGGGGAAGAATATACAAAAACTCTATACACAAATTGTCTACTCTATATAATACTTTAAATATTAAAAAAAACCGCTTTAAATCATTTTCTTTTCCTGAACAAAGCGCTTTAAATCATTTTCTTTTTGCTTAGAAATATAATAACAGAGAAAAGCTTTTAAAATAAATATTTCTGCAGGCATTTCAGTAAATTCATGATCATGACTATTTTTTTATTTGGTTTAAAATTGTAAAATAAACACCTATTTAAAGTGAAGTGATATAATTATTGTTCTCTCAATTTTGTTAATTTTTTTCTCACTCTAAAAAGGTATTTCACCATAAATTTTGTGTCCCACAAAAAAAGCTTTCAAAAGCAATTAAATATATTTGTTTTGTGTGCTAAATAAACAGTAGTATTTAGTACTAAAATAGTACTAAATAAACGGATGTACTTGGTTCCCTCGGGAATAATTGAGCTTGGTCTAGAATCCGAATCAATTCCCCGCTGAACTGAATGCTTATCAGAGTTCCCTCTGGAGGAATGGGCCTTAGAACTCATTCCCATTTGAATCCCACATTTGAATACATTCGAGCTGGACGGGTATTCACCCTTGGCAACAGTCTTCGGGTCGTCATTTTCGCTTGGAATTAATCAAACAGCTCCCAGCTAAAGCCCCCGGGCACAAGTAATGAATAATGAGCATGTGCTTTATTCATTCCGCTTACTACGATAAATTGTTATTAAACTTTTGCCAATCTATGACGCTGTGTGTGTTTACTAGACCCTCCAATATGTATATACATATTTGTATAATGATGAATGTCATGAGTAAGAAACTCCACCCAACGTTCGATTGTTCTGCCATTATTGTTAAATATGCATTAATTAAGACACGACAAGTCCAGTTTTTTTTTTTATATTTCTTCTTTCTCAATAACAAAAAATGACTTTTAATTGACGTAATTGAATTTCTTGGAATTTTTTGGAGTTGTTTACTTTGAAATTGTTAGGTTTTGCACTGGCAGTTTGCTTGTAATTTCAGGTTGTGCTTGGTGTTTAGTACTTCCTCTGCACATGGCACACTTTTTAATGACTCTATTTAAGACCAGAAATTTCAAGTATTTCAGTAATTATGCGTCGCTAAATTAATCAAACTCAAGCTGTAGTGAACTCAGACAGTGGAAAACAATGCTGGCTTTGACCCCCGAGGACCCCGGGGAATAATCGAGCTCTGTCTGAATGCGATAATCAACGAAAAAATAATAAATACTGAGACGAAGTAGAGCTTCCATTTAATTCCATTGATAGGTTACCGAATAACCATAATATTTTTAATACATTCATGTTTAAATATAGTCCAAGTCCGGCCCCTGGTTTTACCAAGGCAACGCGTGGCTCATATTTACGAGCTTTGCGAGTGCCAAAGTTCAGGAAATAATTATAGTTTTCGACTATTTGCGAAATAGCAAGCTGATAGTGTTTATGGATCGCAGAAAATAATAATTTCTAAGGCCGCCAGAGTCCACTGAACGACGACGAGCCCCTTTTTCTATATATATATTATAGCTATATACATATTATACTATATATATATATGTCTATAGAGATAGAGAAGGGGCAGTTGGAGACCCCGTGACAAGTTGTTTACAACCTGTAGCTCTTCATTAGCTTGGCACGTGTTTGCATTTCTGAGATACGGATACGTAAAGTGCAAAGGAAGTGACAGCTTCAAGATACATTTATGAGCAGTGGAGAGGGAAAAAAAAGCATTGCTTATGCTGATTTCAAGAGGATTTCAGATGCACAGAGGATAATCAGGGATATCCTATACATCTTAAAGAGATTCTAAAGTAAAGAATTGCTCAAGTTTTATGACTTTCCTAGAACTCCCTTTTATAGGGCTATTTGTTTTCATATCTTTTGATGAAATTCCTTAGAATTGCCTTTGCCAGCTATATATTTATTACTGTGTAACAAATACTGGGAATCAGAGATTAAGTTAGTGCCTCTTATGATGTTTACTTTGGCGAATTTACAGCTGCAAAAGAGTCAATAAAAAGCTTTTTGATTTCCTGTCATCATCATCAGTCTGGGACATTGTTGTAAATCTATATGGAGATTGCACTTTGGCCGCAACAAAGCGCAACAAGTGCAATTGTAAATTTCCATGGAAGATTTCTCTGAAAGGCAATCGAATCGAATCTAGGACAATGCTGGAGAGAGACCCTTGGAAAGGCCAATAAATCTCACACAATGCAGCTGGGAATCACCCAACAATAAAAGTGATAAGAATACACACTCCACAGACAGATACTCGAAGAAGGGTGTGCGATGTATATGGCTTTAACAAACAGCAATTGCCACGATAATTCAGCAATTAATTAGCTTATTGCATTGTTGAAGTAGAACCAGTTACACATGAACATGAACATGGCAATTGGCCAAGCAAACACACAAAACAACGTTTTGGAATGGGAATTGGAATCGAGAGTCAATGTATCTAGAGCCTAGAAGCCACTCGATGTGAACGAGGCCAGTTCCGTAAATCAGTTAGAAACGGAAATGCAGTTAGCCAGCATAACAAAGCCAATAATTGCCACTAGAAGGCGACAGGCGGCAATGTCATCCAACCGACAAAACAATGTATATATATAGTGGATATATATAAAGATATAGACAACCATATATGTTTGTCTGTTAGTCACGAGTGCAGCAAGTACAGTGCGTTTTGTAGTTTTTTAATTAATGGAAAGCAATTATGTTTAAGACTATTAGCGCCAAATACAAGGTGTAAAGACAATTAATTATCGGATTAACATGGAATCATATTTATAAGCATAGAAAATCATATAAAAAATCAATATTATAATTTTAGCTAGCATAGAACAGGTTTTTGAATTGAAATAAATGCATTTTTGGCTTAGCTACGCGTTTTTTTAATTTTCATTTCTAGAACAAATTATCATATAAAATGTTGATAAATATTGCCTAAATATTGACTAAATATTGACGTTGAATCTTAGTTATGGTCGATTTCTAATTCAATTCTATATGTGTATAAATTTTGCATTCAATAATACACAAATACATTAACTGCTGCATTCCTGTCTTACTTTATACTCAAATATATGTCATATATAGTCCATAATATTTGCCTCTTAAATAAATTCAGACAGCTCGCAATAATCAATCACTATATATAAATATACTATATAGAATGCATAAATTAATGGACACAATTCGCACAAAATGACCTTAAAAGCTTTAATTTCCGTTTATTTACCCGAAGGTCTTTGTGATCATTCTAAAAGATATTCCAAATGAAAAACATACGAAGCGCAGTATAATCAGGTGTTCCCATTGTAATAACAATATGTTTGTTTAAATAGTTTTATTTACTTAATATCAGTGACTAGAAATTGAGAACTTGCAGTAAGAGCAATTAAGTGTGTCTACCACATGTGGGTGTGATGATTATGATGGTGATGGTGATGTGGCTGGAAATCAGATCGGAAAAGTGGGCTCGTGGTTTGGCGCGCCTTCGCACATAACTCATACGCCGCGTTGCCTCTCCCAGTCCCTAGTCCCATGACAAAAAAAATAAAAAATTGTCTTGGCACCTTGACAGAATAGTGCGCATTATTTGTGTGACGTCGATGGCCCGGACTTTTAACCGAATTTCACAACAACGAACAAGGCTGGCAAACAGGAACGTCAGTGGAAAATTTTCATTTGAGGCCCACGCAAAAAAGTTGAGGACATTCCACCAGATCACATGCGTTATTTGTATTATTTTTTATAAGAGAAAATATATACATATATTAAATCGATGACGATATAGGTGGGTTAACTTTCACCGCCACTCTCACCCGTTGCCCCCACATTTTCTGCGGTGATTTGTGAACCATTTTTGAAGGTCAGGAATCGCGAGAGAGAGAATCGCTGTGGGATTATCGGAGGAGGGTGTGTACCCAGTGCCCGCATTCAAAGATCTTTGCTTTTATACAAAAATAGAATGCCGAAAGTGTAAAGGAAAGCGGCATCTACACAGATTAAACAGATAGAATATAGCATACTATATAGAATAGAAGAAACGCCAGACGAAGGCGAACATCTTGTGGAAAATGTACTTAGAAATGTTTTAAAATTTGTTTTGCGTCAACTAAAAGTGACACCGCTCGAGAAATCAATGAACCCCCAAAAAAATTCACTTGTTTCCTCGCGCCATAAAAATTAAAGTATTTCCATTATCACGTTTTTATTTGCAAGCTATTTATAATTTTTTGCCTTTCTTTGATGGGGTCTATTTTTTTTATGTATTTCAGAGGAACTTGTTTCAAGTAAAGCAAAAAGCCAATAAATGCTTTAAAGATCAGTGCGAAAAAAGTGAAAAAGATCCCAAACTTAAGGCTCCAATTTCAATGTTTAATTTGAAAATTCCCAGAAACAGTTTGTCAAACCCAAATATTGTGGAGCTTTATTTTCAGCCGGTTTTCTTGGTTGTAAACATTAAGCTTTAGCCTTCGGCTAATTTATTGCTAAAAGGAAAAAAAGAGAAGAAGAACTGAAACTGAAACAAAAACAGAAATAGTTTTTTTTGGCGGCAAACAAATGATGTCCAAAAGAACAGTTTGAGGCAACAATTAATCAAAGAGACTTTGGCTTCTGCTCTTGGAGGCAAACCAGTTTTTTGTTTTGAATTATTAAGATTCTTGGAAGGAGTTACGACCTCAGATGATGACTAAGATCTGCTTAGAGAAACCCTTGATGAGTTCATTAACATAAATTAGAGCCAATATACAAATTTAATTAAATTATGAATGGGATTGCCAGCCAAATGAGTAGATAATTTAATTAAGTTTGATTAAGTTAACTGGAAGAGAACTGTAAAGAAACTTGAATATATTTCAAATATCTTCATAAATTTTGTTATAGAATTTTTAAAACTTATCCAATGTTTGCTTAATTTATATAGTAAAGAATTTAGTTGTATATTAATTTGGGATTTATATTAAAATCCTGACTAAAACTGGATTCAATCCTTAGTGGCGGTAATTTGTGGCACACGCTCTTTTAGCATCGTTTTTCTAGAGGTGTCAAGACATGTCCCAGAAATTAACAGAGATCGATATATATTGTTCATTAATGATCTAAACTTTCCCATTGACGTAAACCTCAAAAAAACCTCGAAAACTTTGACTCCAAATTGAGACAAAACTTGTATTATATGTTTAAAACCTTGCCGATTTTTTGCGTTGTGTATTATTTTGGGCACGTTTTTCTGGTTATATGGTTTTTGAGAATTTATAGCAAACATGACTAGTTATTTTTATATTTTATTCTTCTTTTTTTATACTGTGATGCCTCAGTTTCGGTTATTTTCGAGTGCTAATTTGAATACAAGTTGAGTGTCTCGGTTTATTGTTGCGCCGCCGCTTTTGATGAAGCTCGACGATGTCTAGACTAGAGTGCTGTTGTGTTTTATTTTATATACATATCTCTCATTTTGCATGACATTAACATGATATTGAGGCTATAATCTGGAATCTAGGGTTAGGGGGTGGCAGTAAGCACCTGAGCCAGACAGGTGATAGACTGGCCCCGATAGTCTGCTGTCCAGCTGATAGCAAATCTATAGCTGCTGCCGCTGCTGGGAAAGTCGTCTGGAGCGAGTTTATCGCCGATCAATAAGCCTTCGGTCAGATTATAAATTTATACACTCAAATGGAGTTCAACGGCACTCGAAAATTTATATATGCTTCGGTTCGAGCAATGCACTTTGCCACTTAATAACCGCCAAAAAAAGAAGAGAGTCCGCTGACACTCGGGGCAAGATGACAGGCGGAAAGTCGCCGGCAGTGATTATGGACACCACTTAATGATCCTCCGCTGATTCAACTCCTCCTGGAGCCACTGCACCCACTCTCAGCGAGTCTCAGTGTTCCTCAAATCAAATGAATTTGCCTTTCGGTGGATTTGCTATTGAGGTCACATCCCCGGCAAAGTTAACGTCTGACGCTGTCACCGTGATTTTATTGGCCCATTAGTTGCCGGTAATTAATGCGTTTATCTGGGCCTGATATCGTGTAATGAAAACAACCGATTACATCAGATAATTATAGGTTGGGTGAGCAGGGCCCAAAACCTGATAGTGTTTTAGTTTTACATGATTGTTAACAAAAAGGGGTTTTATAAAAGGATTTATGGATGTAGAGGTTTCGTTTTTGATTGGATTAACTGGATTGAATATTATTTATTAATGAAAAGCTATAATAATGTCAAGATTATAGTTAGTTAACTTAAACCAAGTTCTTCTCAATAATCTTCTGCTGAAATGTATTAACTGAAGCCAAGTTTTGTTATCAAAAATCTGGGTTTTGCTTCGGATTAACTTGACTCTAGTCAGTCGCCTGATGTTTGTTCGCTTTAAAAACATTTCACTGGTGAATTTTAAGTGTCTAACCTTTCGACGACCCAGACGACAACGAGTCTCGGTTTATATATTTTCGCAAAGTAGCAATGCCCGACCTTGCTTTATATACCTTATCTAATGCCAATTTACTTGCTTCTCTTCCAGACTTCCTGTCATGCCGCCAAGTACTGAACCTGCTGACCATGCTGGGTTTCATGCTGAACTATGCCCTCAGAGTCAACCTAACCATAGCCATTGTGGACATGGTCCGGCCAAATGTCACTGATTCGTCGGAGAATGGAACTCTGGCGGGGAATGGCACGGCGGGTAATAGTTCCTCCTCTGCTGTGACCACATCCAGTCCGGATGGCGTGGATGTGTACGAGGAGCGCTTTCCCTGGGACACCTACCAGACCAACTTTGTGCTGGGCTGCTTCTTCTGGGGCTATATCCTTACCGAACTGCCAGGTGGACGTCTGGCGGAGCTTATTGGCGGACGACGAGTCTTTGGACATTCCATGCTGTGGGCCAGTCTCCTGACCCTAATCACGCCGCTGGCGGCGCACATTAACTATGTGGTTCTGATTGTGGTGCGAGTGGTGCTGGGTTTCATGCTGGGCGCCTCCTGGCCAGCCATTCATCCGGTGGCCGCCGTCTGGATTCCGCCCATGGAGCGCTCCAAGTTCATGTCCAATATGATGGGTAGGTTACAGTAACTTTTAACAAGTTTATTCGATATTTACTTAAATTATTATTAATTCTTGTAGCCTCCTCTCTGGGTGCTGCCATAACCATGCCCATTTGCGGCTACCTCATCTCCGTTGCTGGCTGGGCCAGTGTCTTCTATTTGACAGGAGCCGTGGGTTTGCTTTGGTCCTTGGCCTGGTTCACCTTTGTGTATGAGACTCCGGCCACACATCCGCGGATTACGGCCGAGGAAAGGCGAGAGATTGAGGAGGCCATTGGCACCACCACCTCCAAGAAGCGTCCCAGCCATGTCCCATGGGGCCAGCTGCTCTGCTCGCCGGCTGTCTGGGCCATCATCATCTGCCATGGCCTGGCTGTCTTTGGCTTCTTCACGGTGGTAAATCAACTGCCCACCTTCATGTCCCAGATCCTGCATTTCGACATCAAGCAGGTGAGTTAATTAACTGACAGTTTGGACTTTATCTTTACTAATAATCTATGACCTTCTGCAGAACGGGCTGTTCTCGTCGCTGCCTTATCTGGGCAAGTACGTGATGGCGGTGGCCTCGTCCTACCTGGCTGATTACCTGCGCAAAAAGGGCACACTGAGCACGACAGCCACCAGGAAGCTGTTTACTACTTTTGGTGAGTGAAAAAAGGAAATAACTGCTATATAGTTGAGGTTAATTAAGTCATAGTTTTGGTATATTAAACTATAGAAGCTAGTAACCTGGCTAGTAAGGAAGGATTTTTTTGTATTCTTTTGTCACCATACAACTTATTTGTCAATGAATTATTATTCTTTTACTTATCAACAAAATCTCATTAAATCTATAATAAATAATTCTAGAGAAAACCTCTGGCATTAAACTTAATACCAGAGCCAAAATAAATATAAATGCTATAGAGACTATAAATATAAATAAAACAAAATATATATAAGTTCAAGTTCAACAGAAATAGAATTTTCTGCTGCCGCTAGTTTAGGTTTTATTGGTAATTATTTATAATAGATATAATAATTTATAATTCATTTATTTTAATTACAGCTCTTGTCATTCCCGGCCTGCTGATGATTCTGCAGGTGTTCCTAGGCTATGATGCCACCTGGTCTGTTACCATTTTCTCGCTGGCCCTGTTTGCTCATGGAGCTGTCACCGCTGGCTATCTGGGCAATGGTTTGGATATTGCACCCAACTTTGGTGGAACCATTTTCGGGCTGGCCAACACACTGTCCTCCTTTGGTGGTTTCCTATCCACGTGGATGGTGGGAGCACTCACCTACCATGATGTGAGTTTATTTTGTTTAATATTCTATAGAAAAATCTTTAATTCTTTCTTGTTTTCCCTAGAAATCCTTCCATCAATGGCAAATTGTATTCTGGATTTTGGGTGCCACCTATATCTCGGGAGCCGTGGTCTTTGCCATTCTGGGCAGCGGTGAACTTCAGCCCTGGAACAATCCACCAGAGCGTGTCAAGATTAGTGATGTCACCCAGGAGGAGGGTGTGCCCCTTAAGAACGACAAGTGATTTGGAAAACCCAGGTGTAAAGGAAGGAAAACCCTAGGGAAATGAACATCCCACCAGCAGCACCATCTCCACTCCACCATACACACATCATCCGCACAAGTTATAGTTGTTGCTACGAAGCACGTCTGAGATTTACGGGAATTTCACTTTTCCTTAAACAGGAGAAAAACATGAATGAAAGACATTATATTTTAGAGATACTGAGCAAGGTTTCTTTAAACAAAAAACATACACAAAACAACTCTCATACAACAAACATTGTACACCGATGCCCATGTCTGCTTTATGGAAATTGACTATATTTATAAGTAATATTTACTTTAGAGCTAGCTAATCGCAAGCTACTTACGTCTATGTCTGTAACTGTAACAATATGCATATATATATATGATTATATATATAATATGTATCTGTAGCCTAAATCATTATAGTATTCTGTATGTCCGCAGAGAGCATGGAGTAGAAAAGTATCCACTCTGCGCTCTATATGTTTCGTTTAATTTATATTAAAGTAGCCCTAACTATGGTTTAGTTTAGATGAACAAAAAAATACAATACTTATGCAAGTAGCGAAAATAAAACCATATACACAAACAGATACGACGATAGTGTAGCTAAGTTGATTATTAAACCATATGTAACTTTGTACTATACTTGATTATTTATGTAATTAATTTAAACATTTTCTAAGTTCATAATAAAGAGTAACTCGGAAAAAGAAAAGAAGAAGTCAAGCTATTATTTAGCTGAATGTTAAAATTGCATTTTATATTTCGTAAAATTATGCGGGCATATTAAATTACTATTTATTACACAGAAATAGTAACTCTTTGAAAATCCCCCTTTTAAGGTTTAATAATTTTATTTAGAAGCTTGCTATTATGTAAAGGAGTCATTTCCGACCCCATAAATCATATATGATCTTGATCAGCATCAACAGCTGAATCAATCTATCTATCCCCGGTTAAAAAAATATTTGGAAAATTGTTCCGAATTTTGGCAAAAAAAGATAATTAAAATTATCATTAAAATTTGTCAAAAATCGACAAAAATTTGAATTTTTTAAAATTTTAAATATAGTATGCATATTTAAAAGCCTAGTAAAAACAAGTATAGGAAAGGTTTCCGAATTGAAATTAATGCATTTTTGGCCAAGTTATAACATTTCTAAAAATATATTTTCCCAAAAAATTAGCATATATATTTATTGATATTTAAATAATCGAGCAATAATAAAGCAACCAAACAAATAAAACCTATAGTCCTTTTTCTGAATAAATATTCAATAATTTATGAAAAGAACTTAAAGATAAGGATTAAAGTGTTTTAAGCAGAGTCAAAAAAAAAAAAAAAAGAAAACGCAGTGGTTTAATTAGAATTTAAATATTTAAAATAAAAAACTATATAACTGCCTACAATAACTATTTTAATGAAGCTATACAATATTTAACTTTATCTGTTCATTAATTTATATTGGTAAGAGTGTAGATTGGGGTTTTGTTGTGCTATGGTGTTTTAGTGATGATAATGGTGATATAATTATTTGACGTTGATAAAATTTAAAACATTTATAAAACCCTAAACTGTAATCCAATAACATGTTTTAAATTTAAAAAACAAACGGATGTTGTGTAAATGTAAACCAATTTTATTTTACAATCAACTTTTTTACATGTATCAGGTAATTACCAACTTTATTTCCAGCTCTTTTCGTTGCCTACTTTTCGGCATGTCGCAACCAAAAGATTTCTTAACTTAAGTTTAGTTTTTATTTACAGAAAACGTAGCCAAGCCATGCTACACACAGATTTGCTAAGCACCCATACACACACACTCTAGTGTGTATATTTAGTGATTAATTAATAACTAGAGTTAGTTGCACAACCTAAGTATCCTCCAGACTGACATCCATTAGCTCCCTGGTAATCTCACTTGGACTCTTCACTGGCTCAGAATTGATGCTGCTCAACGTGTTGGTGTCCTGGCTGAGAGCAGGAGGCGGCAGCTTAAAGCCCAGGTTAAGGGAGCCTCCAGTGAAGGTAGGAGCAGGAGCAGGAGCTGGAGTAGAAGGAGGAGCAGTGGTGGTGCTGGTACTGCTGGTGGCCATCTTGTAGAGCAACTGCAGCTGCTGCATGGCGCTGGCGGGATCTTGCAGCTGCGGCGTTGGACTTTCTTTTACCGGACGACTCTTGGCCTTATCCTTCGGCCTCTGCGGCTTTTGCGGTTTCATGCCATTGGACCAGGTCTCCAGCCAGCTGGCCGCATTCCTTTCCGTGGAGGTCATTAACATCTCGGCCTCCTTTTTCACCTGCTGGCGGTAGAGCTGTCGCAGCAGGGCCTTCTGATCGCTGGAGCTCACCTGGCGCTTATTGAACGACTGATCATCCTGGCTGGGCTCACCAATGGGTCGGGTCTCCTTCTGGGGACCCAGTTCCACCATCACCTGGAAGTCGGCATGCTCGCCCAGGCGAAAGCCAAAGCCCAAGCGGGAATCCGTTCCTGTGTTACGAGATCAAGATCTCATTAATCACCCAAGGAGAGAAAGGAAAGTAGGCTCACCCTTCTTGATCGGCGGTATGTTGGAGTAAACTATGGACAGTATGGAGGGCAGTTCCCTTGGCACAATGAAAGTGGATACATCTTGGGCTGTAAGTAAATACAGAGATATTTAATTGATTTTATCTGTCGAGCCCCTTTGCCGCAGCACTTATGTAAATTTTATTTTGCTTTTTTTTACGGCCAGTGATTTTTAGGTCGCCTTATGTAACCGCGTTTATGGTCTTGGATTTTGGTCTTATGAATTCAGAGATGAGCAACAAAGCGAATGCTTCAGGTTTTTACGGGTCTCGGATTCGTCGTTTCACTTTGAAGGTCAGTATAAATTCGGGGAGTTCCAAGAAAAAAGTTGGGTTTTATTAATAGAATAATATTAGATTAAGGTAATAAATTATAAGCAAGTCCCTTAAGAAAATATGCTATGTATCTTCGAAACAATGATTTGAGATTTTATTTTCTTTCTTATTAATGATGCGCATGATGATGTTCCGCTAAATCTTAATTGTTAGCTTATTATAAATAAGCAACTGCTACCTTTTTAACCTTATAACAACTACAAAAAATTGAAGTTAAAAAAATAACCATTCTCTATGGTAAGTCATGGCTGTTCATAAGACTTTAAACCAAATAATTAATGTGTCTGGAGTTTAGCTCCATAAATTTTGTGAGCTGTGATAAAATCATATTAAATTAACTAATAGATTTACACTTTGTGCTTTGATCTTTAAACAAGTAATTTAATCTAGAACTATTAAGCAACTGTACTCATAAAACCAAAACCTTACCATATTTGAACTGGAAACTGATGTCAATGAGAATTACACAAACAAAAATTAGAAGAATATAAATATAATTCAGTGTGCTTTATAAAAATTTTAATTTAATCTTTATATGATAATAATTTGATGTTTTAAATAGTGAATTCTTTTTTAAAATAAATTATTTTGATTACTATTAGTGATAAACTTCTCACTCTATATTATTAAAGTTAAAATTCCGAAATGCATAAAGCTCACATTTAACTATCTGCTTCTATAATATAACCATTTTATTTATTAATTTTATCTAAGCCTAAAATAATATCCAATTAACCTTAATTTAATGCTCAATATTTCTTTCTGTGCATAGACTTGTCCCCAGACCAAACAACATCGACGGCGATCCGTCGACCTTGACACAAAGACCGGCAACAAGTTGGGGCTCGGAACTCGCTGACTCTGGGTGGCAGAGTTAGAGTTTGGCCAAAGTACACCAGATGAAGCCACTCGAGATCGCGAGGACCGACTACTCGTATGTGGTTGGACCGGATTTCTTCAGTATTAACTTACTGCAGAGCAGGCCAAGCAGCAGCAGCGGCAGCCAGAGGCTAGCGAAGCCCCATTGTTTTGGCCAAGACATCATGGCCAGCCTGCAGCATTTATGTGGGGATGAGGGATGAGGGAGTCGCCACAACAAACTGCAATTACACACACGGACAGCATCGATTACTTCACAGTTATAACAGATATATTGGTAAGAAAAATATTGCAGAATTTCACAAGCACCAAAAAGCTAAGTTTGCGCAACACTCAGAAACCAGACTGGCGACTTGAGGTTGGTCAGTTGCCGCTTGAAAATCGGCTAACAGGTGCGTCATTTGGACAAATATTTGAAATATTTTGTTGCCAAGTTTTTCGTTTTTAGCCGCTTTTGTTTACGCGATTTCGATTCCGATGCGATATGCAAACACACACAAGGCACACACACTCACTCACTCAACCACCAACAGAAAATAAACGTTGGGTTTGGAAATCACTCTCACTTTTGTTCAATGAGGTTTTGTCTTGTTGTTGGGTTTTTGTTGGGTTTTTTATTTTGTTTTTGGTTTCGGGTTTTTTCTTCTTTATTTATTTATATTTGTGCCTTGGCTTTAACTGCGTTTTTTTCACTTTGGCCTTGTCTCGTTTAGGCTTTGATTGATTTCTGTCTTCTTTCGGCTTGGAAGTTCATATTTTTTGTGGCTGTAAAGTTTGCATTTACACGCTAACTGACCGAAATTGCTGTTAATAACCTGAGCAAACATCGCGCAGAAATTTTCGTATCGCATAAAAATGAAAGTTAGTTGACTCCAAAACGGTCTCTTGCTATTTTCGGCAAAGTAATGTAGCCAAAGCCCGACCAACACATCGCACATACGAATGGTGTAATTAAACTAACGTATTCTTTGGTTCAATTCACTGCAATTCGACGATGAGTTTGAGTTCCCTTCTCGACGAGCCAATTGACAATCCAAAAACTGACTGCGGACAACTGGTCCGCTGCGCGTCTGCACGGCAACTGAGCCAAAATCGAGAGTGTGTGGCTTTCGGCTGTGCAACACGCGCTTAAAATTTCGAGGGAGTTGGCGCTCTCCGAGGGAGCTGTGGCTTTACACTGGCAGAAAAATGTATAATTTGTAAAGTTTATTATGCTCTATAAGATTTAGCAAGAAAGGAAGCTATTTTCGGGCGACTCTTTGGAGAAGGAAATTGGATCAAATAAAAATAAAATTGATATTTATATGTTTATTCATGATTTATTATATAAAATCCATAAAAGTTAATACAAATTATTCAAGGTAGCTTTAAAATATATAAGAAGTATATTTATTTCCAATACTTTTCTCTCACTGTACCGTAAATCACGTAACGTTGCGCGGTAGCTGCGCATGCGCATGCCTCGCCGCTCTCAGTTTCATTGAAACTTGGCTTAAAAATGCGGCTGAAACTGAAGTTGAAACTGAAACTGAGACCGGCTGTTGCTGTCTGCTCCATTAACGTCATCTCCGCCTCAAATTGGCGCACTTGGCCTGGGCCTGGGTCTTGCCTTCTGGGGTTTCTGTCATTTTTTTGCTGTTGTCATTTCTTTACTTTATTTATTTTTGGCACATTTTTGTGGCATTGTGAAAGGTTGCTTCAGGGCTTACATTTTTTTTGCCAGATAAAATACGGTAAAGATAAATTAAGTTTTGGAGGCGGCACTTGTACGGATTTCATTGAGTTTACTGACGCCTACATACAATGGGGATTATGGTTAAAGAGAGTTATTAAAAACAAATGTTCATTAAAATTTGTAAAATAGTTAGGGAAGCTTTGACAATTAAATAATGTTAAAGTTGCTAATGGTTTCTATATGACGGCTTTGTCTTGAGTACAAACTCAAGCTTAAACTATTAATGATTGGACTTTAAGCGTAAGTTAACAAATTGCCAACTTCTCAGGTTCATTGCACCCTGTAATTACCTTAGGTTTACTGCCTAGTTTGTCGTACGCCCTAACTTTTGCTGCCAAGTGAACCCAGACGTTGTATATATTATATCGTAATATATATATTTCCATATCGTGTACATATTTTGCATAACCTAAGGCAGACTGACTAGCTCACCACGCCCCCCTTTAACGATAGCCAGTCTAATTAACTAAGACATGTGTACGTACATTTTGTTTAATTGCCCAAGCATAAAAATACCAAACACGCAGACAGGCTAAGAAAAGTGTTTATGTAATAGGCGTTGCCTGCCACACATGGGAATACACTGAAAAAATAATTGGAAGCTTAAAAAAAAACAGAACACTAGCTTTCAAATGAAGAAAATGCATGTAAAGTATTGAAAAACACCACGTATAAGTTAATACTGAGCCATAAGTTTCATTTTTCTAATTTATACTTAAGATTAATATTAAAAATTAATTTTTTGAACATGTTTCTTGAATTTAACACTTAAATCTTTAGTGCAACAGCTCGCTTTTTATTGTTTAAAAACTAAACAAAAAAGAATGGGTCAATGCATGATGTGCAAATAAATTGTGAAACTGCATCTGCATAATTGCCAATTGCAATTAATTTTCTTGGCTCAACTTGTTTGTGGCAATTGTTTGCTTTGCAATTGTAAAAAGGCTGCGAAAAGTCAAGAAAATTAACTACCAAAAGGGGAAAAAGGTATTGACAAATTGGTAAAGCCGTCAATAGTTAAATGACTGATTAGGTTTTTTGCATTTGCAATTGTTTTTTAAAAAGTTATTTGTTGCATACACTGAGGCGCAGTGGAAAAAGGATTTATTTAAAATGTTAAAACTTATTTTAATAAAATAAAATCCAATGCTAACTAAACAAAAGCATTGAATGCATTAGTAATAATAAAAGATTAAAAGAGTGAAATTTCCAATGAAAAAGTACTAATGCTTTTGGGCTGTCGTAAAATAATTTAAAACTAACTTTACGTGATATAACATGCTTTTTGGCTGCTAAATTATAATGTTAACATAAAAATTAAATTTAAAAAATGGGTTAACATAGCCAAAAATGCATTAATTTCAATTCGGAAACCTTACTTATGCTGTTTTTTATCAGGGCAACTGAGTACAGTTTAAAATGTTAAAAAATTAAGATTTGTGTCGATTTTTGGCAATTTTAATGATGTAACCCCTTATCATTTTTTGCAAAAATCGAGAAAATTTTCAAATTTTTTTTTTCAACCGGAGAAAGATGGATCGATTCAGCTGCTGATGCTGATCAAGAATATATATGATTTATGGGGTCGGAAATGACTCCTTCACAGTTTTACAAGCTTCTGACTAAACTTAGAATACCATTTTTTGGTCGAAATTTATCTATATTTTATGTGACAATTTTGTCTATAAATCAAATTTTAAAAATTTCATAACTTGGCCAAAAATGCATTAATTTCAATTCGGAAACCTTTCCTATGCTGTTTTTTACCAGGGCAAACGGGAAACAGTCCTTCACATTTCTAGAAGTTCAGACTAAACTTAGAGTACCATTCTTTGAGTCGATATTTATCCATATTTTATGTGACAATTTTGTCTATAAATCAAATTTTAAAAATTTCATAGCTTGGCCAAAAATGCATTAATTTGAATTCGGAAACCTTACTTATGTTAGTTTTTATTCTGGCGACAAAACTGCATACTCAGTTTTTTCGGGAAACAGTCCTTCACATTTCTAGAAGCTTCAGACTAAACTTAGAATACCATTCTTTGAGTCGATATTTATCCATATTTTATGTGACAATTTTGTCTATAAATCAAATTTTAAAAATTTCATAGCTTGGCCAAAAATGCATTAATTTGAATTCGGAAACCTTACTTATGTTAGTTTTTATTCTGGCGACAAAACTGCATACTCAGTTTTTTCGGGAAACAGTCCTTCACATTTCTAGAAGCTTCAGACTAAACTTAGAATACCATTCTTTGAGTCGATATTTATCCATATTTTATGTGACAATTTTGTCTATAAATCAAATTTTAAAAATTTCATAACTTGGCCAAAAATGCATTAATTTCAATTCGGAAACCTTTCCTATGCTGTTTTTTACCAGGGCAATAAAACTGCATACTCAGTTTAAAATGTTAAAAAATTAAGATTTGTGTCGATTTTTGGCAATTTTAATGATGTAACCCCTTATCATTTTTTGCAAAAATCGAGAAAATTTTCAAATTTTTTTTTTCAACCGGAGAAAGATGGATCGATTCAGCTGCTGATGCTGATCAAGAATATATATGATTTATGGGGTCGGAAATGACTCCTTCACAGTTTTACAAGCTTCTGACTAAACTTAGAATACCATTTTTGGTCGAAATTTATCTATACTTTATGTGCCAATTTCGTCTATAAACCAAATTTTAAAAAATTCGTAGCTAAGTCAAAAATGCATTAATTTCCATTCGGAAACCTTTCTTATGTTCGTTTTTATTCTGGCGACAAAATTGCATACTTAGTTTTTTCGGGAAATAGTTCTTCACATTTCTAGAAGCTTCAGACTAAACTTAGAGTACCATTCTATGAGTCGAAATTTTTCCATATTTTATGTGACAATTTTGTCTATAAATCAAATTTTAAAAATTTCATAACTTGGCCAAAAATGCATTAATTTCAATTCGGAAACCTTTCCTATGCTGTTTTTTACCAGGGCAATAAAACTGCATACTCAGTTTTTTCGGGAAACAGTCCTTCACATTTCTAGAAGCTTCAGACTAAACTTAGAGTACCATTCTATGAGTCGATATTTATCCATATTTTATGTGACAATTTTGTCTATAAATCAAATTTTAAAAATTTCATAACTTGGCAAAAAATACTCATTTTTTTTCGGGAAACAGTCCTTCACATTTCTAGAAGCTTCAGACTAAACTTAGAGTACCATTCTATGAGTCGAAATTTATCCATATTTTATGTGACAATTTTGTCTATAAATCAAATTTTAAAAATTTCATAACTTGGCCAAAAATGCATTAATTTCAATTCGGAAACCTTTCCTATGCTGTTTTTTACCAGGGCAATAAAACTGCATACTCAGTTTAAAATGTTAAAAAATTAAGATTTGTGTCGATTTTTGGCAATTTTAATGATGTAACCCCTATCATTTTTTGCAAAAATCTAGAAAATTTCCAAAATTTTTTTTTCAACCGGAGAAAGATGGATCGATTCAGCTGCTGATGCTGATCAAGAATATATATGATTTATGGGGTCGGAAATGACTCCTTCACAGTTTTACAAGCTTCTGACTAAACTTAGAATACCATTTTTTGGTCGAAATTTATCTATACTTTATGTGCCAATTTCGTCTATAAACCAAATTTTAAAAAATTCGTAGCTAAGTCAAAAATTTACTAAACTTAATTCGGAAACCTTTCTTATGTTAGTTTTTATTCTGGCGACAAAACTGCATACTCAGTTTTTTCGGGAAACAGTCCTTCACATTTCTAGAAGCTTCAGACTAAACTTAGAGTACCATTCTATGAGTCGATATTTATCCATATTTTATGTGACAATTTTGTCTATAAATCAAATTTTAAAAATTTCATAACTTGGCCAAAAATGCATTAATTTCAATTCGGAAACCTTTCCTATGCTGTTTTTTACCAGGGCAATAAAACTGCATACTCAGTTTAAAATGTTAAAAAATTAAGATTTGTGTCGATTTTTGGCAATTTTAATGATGTAACCCCTTATCATTTTTTGCAAAAATCGAGAAAATTTTCAAATTTTTTTTTTCAACCGGAGAAAGATGGATCGATTCAGCTGCTGATGCTGATCAAGAATATATATGATTTATGGGGTCGGAAATGACTCCTTCACAGTTTTACAAGCTTCTGACTAAACTTAGAATACCATTTTTTGTTCGAAATTTATCTATACTTTATGTGCCAATTTCGTGTATAAACCAAATTTTAAAAAATTCGTAGCTAAGTCAAAAATTTACTAAACTTA